AGAGGGCTATCAACTCTGCATGATTTGATGATGTCGCGGTCAATGTCTGCTTTGTTGATTTCCATGATATTGCAGTGCCGCCATAAGTGAATACATATCCATTTTGTGACTTGGCATTTTGAGGATCTGATAAGTATCCAGCGTCTGCATACCCAATGAGAGCAGCATCTTGTTTTGGTTGGTAATATAAACCAAGGTCTTGTGTCCCTCGTAGGTACCGGAGTAAGTGTCGAACTCCCTTCCAATGCCTATATGTTGGTGCATTGCTGTGCCTGGCTAACAAATTCACAGAGAAAGCTATGTCGGGTCTAGTATTGTTAGCTAAGTACATTAAGGCTCCAATTGCACTTAAGTATGGTACTTCTGGACCCAGAATCTCTTCATTTTCTTCTCGGGGTCTGAATGGATCATTTTTCATATTCAAAGAACGAACAACCATTGGGAAGTTGGTTGGGGTTGCTTTGTCCATGAAGAAACGTTTCAAAACTCTTTCTGTATAATTTGATTGATGGACAAAAATGCCATGACTCAAGTGCTCAATTTGTAGTCCAAGGCAAAATTTAGTTTTCCCAAGGTCTTTCATCTCAAATTCTTTCATCAAGTATTTTGCAGTTTTCTCGAGTTCATTTGGGGTTCCGATGATATTTAAATCATCAACATAAACTGCAATGATAGCGAATCCTGATTGTGATCGCTTTATGAAAACACAGGGACTAACTTGGTTGTTTTTGAATCCTTCTCTCATAAGGTATTCACTCAGACGGTTGTACCACATCCTTCCAGATTGTTTCAATCCATAAAGTGACCTTTTTAGTTTTATGGAAAGCAGTTGTCTAGGCTTGTGGTTTTCTGGTAGTTTTAGTCCTTCGGGGACTTTCATGTAAATGTCCGTATCGAGTGACCCATACAAATACGCAGTCACTACATCCATTAATCGCATTTGCAGTCCTTTTGTGACTGTCAAACTTACCAGAAATCTTAATGTAGTTGCATCAACCACTGGAGAATATGTTTCTTCATAATCAATCCCTGGAATTTGAGAAAATCCTTGGGCTACAAGTCTTGCCTTGTATCTAACTATTTCATTTTTCTCATTACGTTTTCTTACAAATACCCATTTGTATCCAACGGGTTTTACACCTGCCGGTGTAAGGGTTATTTTCCCAAAAACTTCTCGTTTTTCAAGTGACTTTAACTCAGCCAGCATTGCCTCCTTCCACTTTGGCCAATCACTCCTACGTCGACATTCTTCTACAGTTCTTGGTTCAACATCATTTTCATCAGACACGATGTCGATTGCGATGGAATTTGCAAATGTTTCATTAACGATAACATCTTTCCTATTCCACTGAGTCTTTGTAGAGACGTAATTCATTGAAATTTCATTGTTATCGATGTTTTGAACATCTTGTTCATTCCCCGTAGGGTTGTCTTCTTGTTCGTCCCCTTTTGGATTATCATCATTTTCTTTACTTTCATCCACATTTGGTCTTTCTTGACCTTCTGACGGGGGAACATTATTAGTCTCATTTTCTATTCCATCCAATCTTTTTAGTTTCCTTGGCTTAGAATCTTTTGAACCAAGTGGTCTTCCACGCTTTCTGCGTGCCTGAGATTCATTTTCTATGGCCTTATTACCAGTTGGGATTTCAATACGTGCAGGGGCATTTTCTGCTGGTATATGTGATTTTGTCACCTTCTTTGTGTCTACAAATGCATCGGGCAATTGATTTGCAACACTTTGTAAATGAACAATTTTCTTAACTTCTTGTTCACACATATTTGTTCGTGGGTCTAACATCAACAGTTGTGTTGCATTCCAAATGAGTTCAATTTCTTTCTTATGTGGGTCCACTTTCTCTCCCCCTAAGGCTGGGAATACTGTTTCATTAAAGTGACAGTCCACAAATCTAGCCGTAAATAAGTCACCAGTCAATGGTTCAAGGTATTTAATTATAGAGGGGGATTCAAACCCGACATAAATTCCCAGCCTTCTTTGTGGACCCATTTTTGTTCGTTGGGGTGGAGCAATGGGAACATATACAGCACAACCAAAGATTTTTAGATGTGAGATACTTGGTTCTCGACCACAAACAAGTTGTAGTGGTGAGAATTTATGATAAGCTGTAGGTCTCAATCTAATTAGCGCTGCTGCATGTATTATAGCATGTCCCCAAGCAGATGATGGCAATCTTGACCTCATTAATAATGGTCTTGCAATCAATTGTAATCTCTTAATTAGTGATTCAGCTAGGCCATTTTGTGTATGAACATGAGCTACTGGGTGTTCAACATCAATTCCAATCGACATACAATAATCATTAAATGTTTGGGATGTAAATTCCCCAGCATTGTCAAGTCTTATTTTCTTTATTGTATGATCTGGGAATTGTGCTCTTAATTTGATGATTTGGGCAAGTAATTTTGCTAAGGCAACATTTCTACTTGAAAGTAGACTAACATGTGACCATCGTGTAGAGGCATCAATTAAAACCATGAAATATCGAAATGGTCCACATGCTGGATTAATTGGCCCACATATATCTCCCTGAATTCTTTCCAAGAATTTTGGAGATTCAGTAGCAATTTTGTTCATAGATGGCCTTATTATTAATTTGCCAAGTGAACATGCAGAGCATGTTAATTCATCTGATCGGGGAATTTTGACATTTCTTATTGAATGTCCAACTGAATGTGCTATTATTCTTTGCATCATCCCAGTTGCTGGATGTCCCAAACGATCATGCCATAAAATAATCAAATGTTTGTCATCTAACTTCTGGTTAGATATCATATTGATTTCCACGGGTCGTATGTTTATACGGTATAACCCCGAAGAGTATGCTGGCAATTTCTCATATATATGTTTCTTGCCATGTTTTTCTGCCGTGAGGCATATATACTCTTTTTGATCTGTCGTCATTGTTTCTAGATGATAGCCATTTTGGCGTACATCTTTAAAGCTTATGAGATTTCTTCGAGATTTACTCGAATATAAAGCATTATTGATTATTAATTTTGTTCCATTTGGAAGCATTATACAAGCCTTTCCAGATCCTTCAATTAATTTAGCTGACCCGGAAATGGTGTTTACATTTGCTTGAAACAACTTTAGTTGTGAAAAATATTTTCTATCTTTTAAGATAGTATGTGTTGTTCCACTGTCCAAAAGGCATTGATATTCGGAACTAACTTCAGGTAGATCCATATCTTCATAAAATAAATTTAAGATTAGTTTAGAATAATATCATACAAACGTTTATTGATGATAAAGATTTAAAGTACATGACTAGAAATTTAAAAATACAGGGAACTAAGAAAATACATTAAAACATAGCATATGTTACATTAGTAGATGGGGAACCTAAGCATTGTTGTTTTCTCCAAGAATGAAATCATTCCCAGTTTCAGCATTGTCCATGAAGAAATCGGACACATCAAGGGTAGGACATGGAGCATTTTCTTCATTAACATAATTTGCTTCTGCATTTTTCTCTTTGCCTTTTACAGAAGCCTGGTAAAGGTCTACCAAATGTTTGGCCGTACGACAGGTACGTCCCCAATGTCCTGTCATGCCACATCTGTAACATGTGTCTTTTCCTTTTGAAAGAGTTTGTTTGTGGCTTCCAGATGACTGTCCTTTCTGTTTTTCAAAATTTTTGAAATTACTGTTTCTTTGAAAATTGTTTCTACCACGTCCTCGGCCTCGTCCGCGATAATTTCCACGGCCTTTTCCACGGCCATTGTAATTTCCACGTCCACCTCTTCTTGTAGCATTTGACTCGGGTGGATAGGAATTTGTTGCATTTGCCTCATGATGAGTGGCCAAAGACCCAGTTGGTCTCAGGTTATGATTTTTCAACAAAAGTTCACTATTTTGTTCCGCAACAAGCAATACACTCATTAATTCATTGAACTTTTTAAAACCTCTTTCACGATATTGTTCTTGCAACAGTATGTTACTTGCATGAAAGGTAGTGAGTGTTTTTTCAATCATCTGTTCATCCGAAACTGGATGATCACAATATCTCAATATAGACACTATCTCATGTATGGTTGAATTATAATCAATTACAGATTTGAAATCCTGGAACCGTAAATTTGTCCAGTCAAATAATGCCTTAGGAAGGAGCACCCTTTTGTGGTGTCCAAATCTTTCATTAAGGCAATCCCATAATTCTTTGGGATCTTCAACCATCATGTACTCAGTTTTAAGGCCTTCATGTAAATGATGCCTTAACAACACTAAGGCTTTTGCCTTATCTTGTTCAGTAACAGGTTTTGCAACAGTCATTGCAGAAGTGGTAGTATCAGTTGTTTGACCAGAGGGACTTTTATTTTCTTTAACAGTGTGCTCCAAGCCTTGAGCTTTCAAATTCATCATTGCGTCCACTTTCCATTCCAGAAATTTCTTTCCAGATAAATCTAAGATGCTGAACTGTCTTTTCATAAGGTCTCCCATTTTAGCTACAACAAATTTCGTGATAATTAGTTTATAATAACAAATTATATGTACAACTCACATGTTTAGTTCTTCCATATTTATAATTAAGTTAATAAGACACGTGATAATTAAATTTGATAATAATAAACCATAAATAATATAGTCTTTTCTCCCCCTTGGTTTATTATTGTGAGTAATTATATGATTAGACAAAAATTAATCATGTTAGTTGCAAAAAAAACAGCAAAACGACAACAATGACAGTAGTAACAATAATTATAATGATAACGGTAATATTATACAATGATGATTAATAACAACAAACATACATAATAAAACAAAAACAAGCTTTTAATATACTAAAACGACAAAATAAGTGAGTTTTACTTATACATAATGACAAAAATTAATATTGCTACTAATAAAATTACAAGCGCCGTAATTAGAAGGAAATATTGTTTTATCTTCATTAAATCTTCCTCAAAAGTGAAGTTGTGGGTGTTTTGGGTGTTTTGGTTGCCGTCGTCGGGGAACATATCGGAGAAGAAGGGGGTGAATTTTTTTTTTTTTTTTAGGTGATTTTTGGATAAAAAGTGGGAAAGGATAAGGGATTTGTGGTGAAATTGGGGGAAAAATCCGTCTTTTATAGAGGTAGGTTTATCCGTTACTGTTCTGTACAACTGTAAAAATATCATATAATAGTCTAACGTACTGGCATAAAATTATGGTCCATATATATATATTTATAATTGTAAAAGGTTATCACACTGGGAATGCAAGCCATAGTGGTCCGAGAGCCCTAATATCTATAAAAGATCATGGGTTCGAAAACGGAAAGAAACACAAAAAGTATGTAAAAGTAAGAAAAATAATAAGTGTAAAAGGCTGCATCTTTTTGTTAATCTAGTTAATAATAATATGCATGCAAAGCTACTACTTAGCAATTATAATAACTAAGATAAAAATTTACGTAAAATGAGTATGTAATATCAACATGGATCAAACAAAGAAACATCAACATGAATAAACAAAAGATGATAGTAGTAAATTCACAAGTAAGAGAACTTTCACCGTTGTTTTTGAGGTATATATAGTAAATGTTTGAGTTTCTGTTATAGAGGATCCCAAATATGGGCAACTATAGAGCATACTCCTCGAAACATTTAGAAGTAGATAGTATTATTTGTTATAAATTTTTAGAAGTAGGTATAAATATACCTGACTGAAAACTGGTGCTGATAACGTGTTAAAGAATTTACCGATAGAAAAGTTTTGATTAATAAAAGGAGTAAAAGAGTGAAAGAAGATGGGTGAAATTGTTGTAGTGTTATCATTGTATTCTTACTTCTATGGCATTGTATTTATAGCCATGAGTTACACTAATAATACAATAATTACTCACATAGAGCCATATGAGTTCACAAGTGTTTGGACCTATATGAGCATTGTGTAATCAAATCAATAATTGGCATTCACTTATTAGACTTATCTTCTAACACAGATATCAAACTTATTATTCCATTCTTAGTGATCAACTTAGAGTTCCTTAACTTTCCACGGCCCTGGCCCTGGCCCTGGCCCTTGACTTCAATATGGCCAGGAAAGTACGTAATAATAGTAATAAACCAAGTAGATTCAATTTTAAAAGGAGACAGCAAACATCAAATGACTGTATATACATATACAACTATTGTCGAATTTAGAATTGTAACCATACATGTATATTAGCAAAAGTTAAAGCACATAGTGGAATTTAATGATTCAGATTGCTGTACATTCAAAATTGGGAGCTAGTATATGAGATTATGGTTGAAATATTGAAACCTGAGTGTGCCGATAATTTCGCTACTTACAGAAGGTTGAGACATAAAACTGGTCCTTAATTTGCCAAGTCTCCTTCAAGTCCAATGATAACAGTATCTATGTGGTCCTCAAATTGCCAAGTTTCCTCCCAGTTCAATGATAACACCATCCATCATGTCTAACATGTCTGTAATAACACAAGAACAAAAAATTCAGATAATTGAAGCTGAATAAATTAGCAGAACAACATATCCTGTTATATAAAATAAGCATCACAATATTCCTGAAGTATTTGACCATTCATCATTCATGTATGACCTCAGATTCAAGAAATATTATCATAAATCAGGTAAATCTTTAATTCAACAAGGTGTTTCATGATTTGAATTTCAATATAAGTAATGTGCGAGAATGTGATATTGTATTGTATACGGAGGCCACTCTCAGGTGATGTATCACAGAAATATTCATCTTCGATCACAGTTCTAGAAAGAATTTAAAGTGATTGCATGTCCTCAAGCACTTGTGATCATGTTGATCAAAGTCCACTTATATAAAAGAAAAGTAAGATATAGAAGGTGGCCTTCCTGTCCATATTTACGAATTATAACCAAAAACATACTTACCTAAGACTTTGTCTGCTCCCCTTTTCTGGAAAACAAGAAGTATAAAGTTAATATACAGAGAAGAAAAAATAAAGACATCAGCAACATGAATATTCAAGTAACAAACGAAGTGGAAACCTAAAGAAATACATGAAACAAGATTTTTTTGTTGTTCCACAAAGTAAACAGTCGACTTTGCAGCAGAACCAGCAAGAAATATATTGTTACAGGCCTCCAAGATAGTAAGAGACCACTATATCATTTCTATCATCTATGTATGAATGGACAACTTTAATATGTAAATAAAACGTTTCTTGCACACCTCAATTAGAACCTAAACTCACACATGAGTAATCCTCTTAGAAGTTCCAATACTTTTACCTGTAAGGTACAAGATGGTGAAGCATCTAGCAGCTGGATAATAGACACGGTCAAAGATCTGAAAGATACCTCTTTAAAGAAGCGGTTCAAATCAACTTCTGCAGATACTTGAGGTATTCCTATAGAATACATATTTAGTCAATGAAGGTAAATAAAAGCTAAATATGTGCAAAATAGCTTATAATTCTGCTTTGTACCTAAATTAGTCTCAGTGGAACAATCAGCGAGAAGTGCAGGAAAGCTCTGAGGCAATGCAACATCAGTGACCCCAACAGCAAGATCCTGAGCTGCTTCCTCAGAACATGAGTAAGGATTGTGTTCCTGGTTGATTGAAGGTAGCAGCAGTGGCCTATGTTCTTCATCAACCCTTAAACAAAAAGATCAATCATCAATTTTCTTCTTTAGCCTTACGTGGTTGTTGCTTAGGTGTTCCAAATTACAATAAGGTGGACGATTTCTTCAGAAAGAGATGGTTTCATACCCCTCAGAGCATGAGTAAGGATCGTGTTCCTGGTTGATTGACGGTAGACGCAGTGGCGTATGCTCTTCATTGACCCTTAAACAATAAGACCAATCATCAATTTTCTTTTTTAGCCTTACGTGGTTGCTGCTTAGCTGTTCCAGATTACGTAAAGGTGTACAATTTCTTCAGAAGAGATGGTTTCATACCCCTCATTGAGCACACTGAGCGGTAAACTTGAACAATTTCTTCCTTCCTTCAAGCTCTGTTACAAAGAGTACGATATTAAATTTCAGCCAGTGTCTACCCTGGTTGAAGATGTTACTATGATTGCAGTAACATTGACAAATTCACAATGCTGATTCACCTTTAATGACTCCATGAATTCCTGTGACTCTTCAGAAGAGGAGAAACGAAGGGCAAACTTTTGAACCTGAAACATCATATAGGTCATCCACAAAAAAAAAAAAAAAAAATGAAGTCAGGCTCAAGATTAGGAAGCACCAAGACATTAACATAAGCAGAATTTTTTTTTTTAACAAGTTTCTCAAAAGTTGTAAATACAGAAGCTGCTTATGAAGATAATCAGTAGCATGTTAGCACTAGAAAATGCCAGAGACTGTAGTGCCTGAAGCCAGGACTTCATGTGTTGTTGCTTCAGTGAAAGACTATAGAGACCATAAACAATGACAGGGCACTACAAAGAGCAATGTGCATTTAACTACATTGCATTTTTTATTTTGAACAAGGCTTTGGCTTTGGATCCTCTAAACAACAGTTGACACTCAAGAGGAAAACGAGCATCGCTTCCCAAATACCACGACAGCAGTAAGAGACTGATGGCCAATCAAAAGGAATTAACATTTTGAGCGCAATTTCTTTCCAGAAGGAAATTCAAATTCTCAGAAGATGAGAATTCTCCTAGTCTTTCAGATAAAAATCTGTCTAAGAAGATCACAAGGATGCTGAGAGACTCGTCAGGAGCTCAAGTGTGTCAGTCGCAAATATGGATAATCTTGGGAAAGTCGTTTACAATAAATCATCTTCAGGGCCACATACTTCAAGTAATCATCTTGATAATCTGGACTAAATAGATTCTTTGCTAAACTGATTGAAAAAAGTTGTCTGGAGCAAATCCTTAAAATGTTAAACAGCAAGTCAGCAAGATGTGTGTTAATAGTCCATGCATGAAAGAAGGTAATCAGTGTAAATCCAGTCTAGAAGCTTGCCTGCCCCATGCCATCTCTGTAACTGGCAAATATCACTCTGCTTCCTCTGAGAGCACATCCTGAAACATCGGATCCCTGTGGCCACATAAAATTCAGCTTTGAAATGTAGTGTTCTTCCTGCACAAACAATCATCCAGAATAAAAATTATTAACTAATGCTAATGCTTCTGCTGTTTTGTTTCACCAACAGTAAGATGCTAAAAAACCAGTAACATCTTGTAAAAATAGATTCAGTTCCCAGGCATGAAAAAAAAAGGGAAGCTACAACAACAGGATGGCTTTTGCATAGAGAAAGAAGAGAGCTACAAAACTGCATAATTGACTAATTTATATGAAAAACTGAAAACCTTCTCAAGTTGTCTAACAACAATATAAATGAGCCAGTACATTACAGAAATCAAATAACAATAACAATGATAGATTTTGGTCAATAGCCCTTTCTTGTACGGAGTACTAATGATCAATCGAGGTTCTCAAACAACCATACACAACATGCATAAAAATCATTAGAAATTTCATTAGGTACAAAACATCAATCTGATAGAATATAAAGGACCAAGGTTAATATGTCCATGCTTCAAAGTTATTCAATGGATTTGTACATATAAATTTAACCCATCCATACGGCTCAGGAGGCACAATCCAAAATAAAGTTTCCAAACATTGTATTTTCAGTGTTGTAAATCAACCAAAAAGAGTACCACAGCAGAAATCATAATCCCTAAAATTGCACTAACTACTAACTACAAAATTGGACTCCAACCTTAACTGTCTTAATGTGTACATTCTGGCAAAATGTAAGATATAGCCAGTGCATATTGATTAGTGATAGTATGTAAGCATTTCTCCAGAATTATCTAATAAAATCAGAAGGAATCACATAAAACTGATCATATAGGCACTTCAGAACCACTCACTGTCACTTATACCTAAGCAAATTCACGTACATAAGAAAACAACGAAACTGAATATAGACAACATTATCGTATCTATACAGTTGCACACTTCATTTTTGAGCTGAGGAATGTCTATGGCAAAGCACCATATGGTGCGCCTTGCCTTGAGCACCACAATTAGATATTTATTTAGACCAAGATAATAAGCAGCTAGGATTTCATACCCCCCATATTTTCTTCCTAAGTCAATAATCTATAACATACATACTCTTTCAGAAAATTTCACAATCATTCACAACATTTGAAACCTCAAAAGATTATCTACGAAATAAGTTATCAACGGCACCAAACCCATCCATTAAACCTTCAAACCCATCAAAGGTTATCTTTCGCTTGTATATTACCATTTCTTATGTAATGAAAATCAATTATACAATGGATTACAATTTTTACTTAATCCACCATAAATCTTGCAACACTAATCTCTCTCCACCCCATAAAATCATGTATTAGAAACCCCCTATCAAAGTAAGTACCCACTAATAAGATCACCCTTAAAAGCCCAACAAAGTTAGGACATTTCAGAATTCAGATCCATAATCAGCCAACTAACAAACAACCCATCTAATCTTACTATAACCCAAGGAACTATTAACTTCCAGCCACATTCAATTCATTAATCAACAACAACCCACATCAGAGAATAGCTCAGGAATCCAAAACAACAAGTCATTTAAGTCCATACTCATACATCAAACACACAACCCAGTTCATCTTAAATGTATCCAAAAATCTCTAAAACGCAGTCCATAATTCCTCGAATAAACAAATAACCACAAACCCACAATATCTCGATAATCTAAACCCTACTATACTTTGATTAATCCGGATTCGACCCAGAACATCCCCTAACAATATACGAACATCAATGTAAAAAAAAGTTCGATGATTCATGGAAAATATTCATTGAGACATATAATCAAACAGTTAATGTGCAACCCAGAAGGGAACTCACATAAATACTTTCATCAAGGGAGACAACGAGAGTAGGTTCAGAAAAAGAGGGATCAAAGAGAAGAATATGAAGAGAGACATTGGAAGAAGAAGAAGGAACCCAAGTGCCCTTCAACCGGTCCTTCCTGCCGGCGTAAATTGGGCGGAGAAAAGAGGGAGTGGTAGTAGAGGGTGTAGTAATTGGGAAGTTGAAGAATCTAGCGTATTGGATTTCCCAGTAAACATTGTTTATCATTGCTCCATTGGTGGTTAGGGCGAAACCATTGTCAGCCATTTTCGTCTTCTGATTTCACCATCAAAGTTGTATATTTTAGGTGTGCGCTACACTATTTTATTCCTAAAGCCCACGAGGGAAATTGTTGTACAGATAGACGGAATTTGATTCTAGGTTTAGAGAAGGGTGGTTAAAAATTGACCCAATTCGAAAATAATCTGACCGCATTTGAAGCGGCCTTAATAGACTTGTATAGCGGTTTGTGTGTAGTATCATACGAGTGTTATAATTGCAGGACTTAAATTCAAAATAATCTAATTTGACTAGAATCGAACCAATTTGCACAATCTAATTTGACAACTCGTAGTAGAACTTTATTTTGTACGAGTATCAATTAAACAGATTCCAAATTGAATAGAAAAGCATAACAATATATCTTCATTTTTATTTAATTGACTAATAGCTTTTTGGAATTATTTTTATTCAGCATTTATTTATCTTCTCTAATCTCTTCCTTAAAGCATGTCAAGTGACTATTTAATCAAGTGAATACTACCTTTGTAAGGGCTGTCCATACACCAATTAGGCAGTTACATAATCATGATTGATGTCATGCGAGAATGACATTTATAATAGGTTAAAAAAGCAAAATATTTTAAAAGAAGGAAAAGAATATACGAAAGTATAAATGCGACAAATTATACGTTAAGAATTTTTTATATACGAGTATATATATTTCGATCAACTACGCAAGATAAATGATCATGTAATTACTCTATCGTAATCAATATTGTAAAAATTTTCTTTGGTGAATGGTGAGAGCAATTATATTATCACGGGTATTAGCATCATAATTTGTCTTTGATTATATAGGCATAAGAATTTTAATGATGTTGATGATCCTCTACAGCCCGCTGAGGTGATGATGGCCGTGGGTATATTCCGCGTGCCAGCCTTCTAACACTAGCAGTGGCCGGGTTTTTGCCATCGATGGTAGTAAATTTCCAATGACCACCTTCGCTCCTGCTTAGCCACCACTCTTTTGGTTCATCATCTGAAATCAATCAATGCAAAAATTCTAAACAAACACATACATATATATTATGTATGTACTTTATAATATATATAAGAATAGAACATACAACCAAATTTAAAGAAATTAAATATCATACCATTAGCAAATGTTAAAAAACCATTAATTTGAAATAGAACCGCCACTACAACGAACATAAACAATAACCATTTGAGAAATAATTTTCTCATTTCAAATGGAGCTAGCTTAATTAAATTAGCTCTCTCTTTTTTTTTTTTTTTTTTTTTTTTTTTTTTTATGTTGTAATAGCCAAAAAAACCAGCATATATATACTTGAAATATGGGTTTTTTTTTTCCTCCAAGTCACATGTGAACAGTTGACACTTTGTGTAGTACTATGAGCGGCTTTTATACAAGGCCGGAAATAATCTTGTAGACTTGTTAACGGTCCACCACATAAGATAAGCATCGCAACACCTTTTATATACTAGATTTTATTTTTTATTTTTTTTTTCTGATAAACGAGTTTCTCCCCTAAATGAGTTTTGTCTATTTGACATTTGATATCTCAAAATCAGCAAAATAACCAAATTTAAATTTAATTTAAAAATTGTGAATAAACGGGTTTGTTTATGAACATAAATAAATGACTTTGTTTATTAACATAAATAAACAAGTAGTTTGCAAACATAAATAAACAAGTTGTTCATAAACTTATTAGAACGAGTATTTCTATGGGTTCATGTTCAAGCTAAGCTCATTTATTAAACAAGCTTTAAAATTTGTTCAAAATTGGCTCATTTATTATTAAGAGTCTTGGCTCAATTACACCCTAATTTAATGATGAATATGCTCTACTGCCCGCTGAGGTGATGGCTGTGAGTTTCCACTTATCTCGCGTTCCAACCTTCTAAAACTAGCAGTGGCTGTGTTTTTGCCTTCATAATTTGCTATTCTAACAAATTTCCATTCACCACCTTCGCTCTTCCTTAGCTGCCATCTTTTTGGTCCAACATCTAAAATCAATCAAAATCCAAAGCATATTTTAATTAAAAACACATGTATTGTATGATTGTATGAATATACTTTTCCTAGTTAAGAAATCGTGGCATATCTTGCACCAATGCACCGTTTTCACTTTTGTATTTGTAACACACAACTTTAAAACTATTTTAGAAAAAATTGACTTTTTGAAAATAGAAATCTAAATTAATAATCCAAAACTATAATATACAACACAGTATCATTTTTTTTATTTAATATAAGAGTAAAAGGACAAGCTAAGGTCAATGTTAATATATGAATATTGCAACAATTCAAAGTGATACAACTAGATCCAGATGGAAGCACAACTTATGACCGATTTCAAAGAAATATCGTACCATTAGCAAATGAAGAAGCACCTGATGTTGCAAAACCATTTACTTGAAAGAAGACTGCTGCTACGATGACGGACATTAACAACAACCATTTGAGGAATAATGTTCTCATATCTAGATTGATTTGAAAAAATGAAAAATATAATGTATACTTTGTATGTATAACTGTATAAAGAGCTAGCTTGATTAGTTTATATATCTCTCTCACTCTCTGGTTTTAATTTACTAAATTTTTTCTTTAATCTTGTACTAGCCAGCATTTTCTGTATACATATTCGTGTAAAATGTCTATTTTTTCCATGTTGAATCCCAATATTTGACTTAATATTATTTTTATTTACATCTAAAGGTCGGACTAATCGTGTTGACTTGGTCATTATAAATAATACGTAGGATTTATGTCTTGACTTTTGACCCTTTCAACGTTTTTATTTGCTTGAGAAATATTGTCAAAAAGGAGAAATTGATTTATCAATAAAATTTCTTCCTATTGGCTCATTTAAATAGCAAGTTAGTAGCTAACCAACGGGAAAACAAACTAACTAAAATGGTGATTTGTTTCAAATTTTATGTGCATGGTAAACTAATTTAAGAATTAGCTTACATTGGAGATACTCTAACGCTGCCAATTTAATCAATTACTCGGATATCAACTGCTTACAATTTGAAAAGAACACAACAAACCGATGTCATGCAACACAATCAATGTCATGCAGCTACCAGAACACAAAACGGTCGATGTCATACCTACTAACCAAGGTTTGAACAATCGTGTTGACATGGTCACCAGAAACCATATGGAGTATTTGTTAAGGATTCATATATACATTGACTCTTGACATGCAGTCATGAGTTTTGACCCTTTTGCTTGGCTTAGTTTTTTCTAGTACTTAAAACTTATAAGTTTAGTAGGAGCGAATTCTTTCAGTGGTTTATACTTCATACGTATCAAGTGAAAATGCACATTGTAATGAAGACGCAATTAATATTTTTTTTTTTACACAGTAAGGTCAACTGGGCGCCTACCGAGGCTTTTATCACAGAAATCCTGGCTGACAATGATCGGGGATAAAGGGAAGGGATTTGTGACTGATGAGAAATACTCTATACAAGATTGAAGAGATCAGATACTACTCAATAAACCTTTTTTTAGCCTCAAATTGGATAACCTTTTTTATATCTATGATATATTTTAATGAGTTCATTTAGTCTTTTTAATTTGAGTCCATTATGATTCTGCACACAAACTAACATTGGTCAATTTTTAGTAGTTAATAGAGCAAATTTAAAGCCTAGAACACTTTCTATCTATTTAATGGCAAGGTTGCATTTGAAATTAAATAATAGCTCTACACCTCTACCTCTGCATCACTGCATGACACTGTAATGGCTTTACTTCTTTTCAAAATTGGTTGAACAAAAATTGCAAAGAAATACCGTTATTAAATAAAATAATTAACCTTATCAAGTGCACTAGCTTGTACCATTATCAAGCTATTAATTTAGAAGGAATGACGTGTAAACATGCAAAACTAGGATCAATTAGGTATTCATCTTCTCACCAATGAGCTACATACGAGACATAAAATTGAAAAAGTTACTACTAGTAATAAATTTTATTGTTTTATAAACCACAAAATCAACCACATCAAATACTAATATACCCTAAATTAAACACATCATATAGAATTAGGAGAAATAAGACTTGAAACATAATTTACCACGCGATTATTTTCGGCTCTATTATCATATAGTTTATAATATCTACATTCAATATGAATATACTTACCTTTGCCTATACGTCCATCAAATATAAGCAAATTTCCCATCATTCCCTTACCTCTGCATATATTTTCAAAGATTATAACTTTACCATCACCGGTAACTTTTAGCATCTCATAGTTCCATAGTTTTCCTTCTTCAATTCTATACTTAATATTCCAAGAATCGCGCTTATCATCATCCAACACCCGCATCTCAACAACATATTGGTGAAGGCGGTAATTAGAAGCTTCATCGTATAACTGACTGTTAGGGTTGGTGAGTGCACAGCGGAAGCAAATTAAAGATGTATAGATTGTAGGCAAGATAAGTAGTAAAAATGGACACCACAATATTTAACGTGGGAAAAATTTATCAAAAAAAATCCACGAACGACGAGCACCCAAAATAATCCACTATATGAAAAATAGGAGAGTACAAGAACCCTTGAAAGGGTGAGTATTACAAGAGAACTCTCACTATAGGAACTCTCAATGGAGTAGTATAAGGATGGTGGATTAAGGAGATTGTGTGTGTGTAGAAACTCCGATCATGATATATATCTTGGAGAGCGGCATTTGTTGATAAATTCTCTCTAAGCATGGAGGGACACTCATAGAGTGCATAGTATCGGAGTATTGGAGGATGATGTAGGTGGATCCATTCTCCCAAATGATGCCCAACACCTATTTATGGGTGATGTAAGGAGGTGGAAGAAGTGCGTGGAAAATCCTAGACAAATCTAAAATGTTCAGGACAATCACCCATTCTAGATTCTTCCACAATTCTCCATCAATTTCTCAACATTTTTAGCGTTTTCTAGAAACCTTGAGATGTAATAAGTTGGGCTATGGAATTTGGGTCACTCTTACCCAATAACATATAGGGTGAAGAGAAATGTGACATACCCGAACTCGTTTGACTAGGACGCAACGCCAAATCGAGGTTGAATGATGAATCCACCGTGTATGGCTTTCACGTACGCCATCAAGCATCCAATCCGCTCCAATCAAGAACGACCTTCATAAGAATCCTCCAAGTGTTGAAACTGATCGATCTTGCCATCGAACTTATCAATCTCGAACTTCGTAAGCAAAGACATCCTTTAATGTGTAAACACTCTAATCAAC